CGGGTACATAGTGTTTTCTTTCCTTTCCTTCTTTCCCTTTTCTTGTTTTCTTTCTTTCTTTTTTTAAGAGAGAAGGAGTAGAAAACCCTGGAGAAACAAAGTAGAAAACCATTTTTATTTCTGATCAAAGAGAAGAAGATAAAGATGTACATGTCAAGTGTGATTTAAAAGACCTTGCCCTTGCTTATGCTGAAGAGGAGGGAAGCAAGCGAGGAGCTGGGGGATTGAAGTTAGAAGCAAGGCCAGGATGCTTGGAAATGGGGTCATCCCGCGGGAGGCCAGCGCAAAGATCAGAGTGTGTGGGGGTGTCTAGATGAAAATGGAGAAGGGCTGGCGAGGAAGAAAGAGATGGGACCTAGAAAAAGTCCGCAGGAGCCCCCTAAACTAGTTTGACTGTGTTCTTTTGTACGAAACCCCCGCCTCTGAAGCCCAAGGCCTCACCTTTAGGGCTGCTAGTCTGTTAAAGGGCTAAAGACCCACAGGCCGAAGTCAGCATCTCTCTGCAGTTGCCAAAGAAACATTCTTTCTTCAGGTCGAAATGTAGTTTCTCTAAGACACAGTATTATATTTTTTCTCCAAAAACCTTTCTTATTAGGCTTAAGTTTGCTCTCCCTTCTGGAAAAAGGCCCTACAGAAGAGAATGATATCACTGGGCTCTGTTCATATTCACAGACTCTTCCTATGCTGCTGGAAAGTTGGTCAGAGTAAAACTGGAGGCGGGGGGAGGGAACCTGAGGTATATGTGCTGCTCCCCTGCTTCTGGGATGTTCTCAAGCGAATCGTGGTGCTGAGATTTGCTGCCCAGGGTGGTTCTGATGGTGTCTTGAGTCAGAAGGGAAAGACGTTTTCTATAGAGAACTTTCTTCGGTGGATTTAGCAAATCCATTATCCTATCAAAAGAGTTTGGTTTACTTCACATTAACAGGATATTTTGGGGGAAAAAGAACAACCTGGAGAGGAAGGACAGTGAACTTGTTAGGGGTATGGACTCTGGAGCCAGGTTGACTAGATTCACATCCCAGAGCCACTGGTGGCCAGCTAGGTGATCTTGGGCAGGGGCTGAACCTTTCGGTGCCTCATTTCTTCATCCACTAAATGGAGATGATGGTAATGTGACAATAGCTATCTAACGACGTAGCATACGATGATAATACTAAAACAATAATGACAGTAATAATACAAGGTTGTACTGATAAAATTAGTTGGTATATGTAAAGGGCTTAGAACTCCCCTTGGCACATATGAAGTACTTTGTAATTTATCTTTAAAATTTTTCATGCTTTTAAAGATTCTATTTGTTTATTTTATTAAAAAAATTTTTTTAACATTTATTTATTATCGAGAGACAGAGAGAGACAGAGCATGAGCAGGGGAGGGGCCGAGAGACGGGGAAACACAGAATCCGAAGCAGGCTTCAGGCTCTGAGCTATCAGCACAGAGCCCGACGCCGGGCTCGAACTCACGGACCGCGAGATCATGACCTGAGCCGAAGTCGGACGTCCAACCGACGGAGCCACCCAGGCACCCCTAAAGATTTTATTTTTAAGTAATGTCTACACCCGATGTGGGGCTCAAACTCACAACCCCAAGATCAAGAGTCACAGGCTCTACCCACTGAGCCAGCCAGGTGCCCCACTTTGTAATTTAGTTGTTGTTATTAGTAAATGATGAATTCAGTGTTAGAGACTGATCCAATATCTTATGTTTTCTGTAACATGTGGGTTATGGTTTGAGGTCAAAGTTATCTATAAAGTTTCCTTCCTCCCCGATATTTCCCTTGTTTTATAGAAACCAAATCATACTTCTCCTGCTTGAAAATGGCAATAATGTTGTTTACTTACCATCTGGATATTGCGTTCCATATTTTTGTTCTCGTGCCAAGATAAAATGCAGATCTTTGACTGACTACTTCAATATAGCTCAGTTGATTTAGTTCAGTGAATTGCTATTGGCTCCATCCACTGAGACAGCTCTGTGAGTTTTTTCTTTTTTATTTTTTTAAATGACATTTGAATGAGTCATTTGCTAATTTTTTTTAAAAAGGAATTTCTTTTTTGGAACTAGAACACAAAAGCTTCCTAGCTTCCAAGCACTCAAAATTACAAATAAGGTGACTAAAATCAGTGATAGAAAAATCTGGAGGGAATTATTAATACTCTCAATCTTCCAAGAAAATGCTGAGGAGGGCCCATTTGCTTGAAAAGGAACTTGGTGCTTGGGTTTCTTTTCCATTTCTCAGAGTATGTTTCTAGTGGTAGGAATTCACGGATACGTTATCAATTCGTTCAATTTATTTTTTCTAAAACCTGTATTGGGTGTCTACGTCATGGAAGGCAAAACACTGTCCTAGGTGCCAGACGTGCAAAAATAGATTAAACAGGATTCTGGGCCTTCGGGAGCTCGCCATTTTGTGGAAGGGATAAGACGACATAAGGATAATTCGAATATATGACAATGTCCTAAATGGCATATCGGAAAGAGTCCCACAAAGATTTGGAGAAGAGAAGCAGCAAAGTAAGCACCATTTTCATGAATTAAATAATATTTGAGTTGGATATTGAAGGACAGGTAGAATTTAGACAATAAGAGAAATTGGCAAAGGTAAAATGGAGAGATGGGAGACATTTTTAGGGAGAAAACATATTATCCAGCACCCCAGGGCTGCCCTAGACCCTGAAGATAAAAGCTGAATGAGCTGATGGGGTGGCCAAGCTCAATGGAACATGCGCACTAGTGGGTCGAAACAGAATGTATCTAAGTAAACGAATGAGGTAATCTAACGGGAAAGATTCTATACAATCAAAATAAAATAATAAAATGACAAGTGACAGTGTTGGGAGGAGAAGTTACTTTCGAGGGGGTCGGGCAGGAACGTTTCTCTGAAGAGGGGAAATTTGATGTGAGACCAGAATAATGAAAAGCCTTTCGAAGGCCTAGGGAGGCTTGTTTGGTAAACACAAAGGCCAGGGTGGCTAAAGAGTCATGACCAGTGGTGAAGAACACTAAGGCTGCTGTGTGGAGAAGGACTGTGGAGTATGGGGGGGTCAGGACGCAAAGGAGAGAAACCTCTGGGAGTTTATTGCAGCAAACAGGCAGCAGATGATGCGGCCTCAGACTGGGGAGGCAGTGGGGAGATGCGAGCTAATTCTGGAAAGACAGGGAGTCACAGAGTGCAGGGCTTCACATTCTCTCAGTCTGAGAATTTGAAATTTATTCTGGAGGTAACAGAAGAGTAAAATTATTTATGGATTTAGAATTTTCCAGTGTCTATGCTTTGATCTGTTTTTTTCCTGTGGAAGATACTTTTTTTTTTTTTTTTTTACACACCTTTGGTAATTGATTAGTACCTTACATAATGAGCACTCTGTGGTACCCTAGTGATTTGACAGATAAGTGCCTCTTAGAAAGTTGTCCACTTTATAACTGCCGTGGAATCAGATCTTGGGAACATCTTCAGATACACAGAATAGAGACACAGATTTTTTTTTTTTTAGCATAATGAGTCTACATTATAATATTAAAAGTGGTTGATAATAAGAAAAGAAAGTTTTGTTGTTCACATAGATGCTCTCCTCTGAGAAGCAGGGATGCCCAAGAAAAAGGTTTATAAGACCACAGGAAATGTAAATAGTGGGGAGCTTTGAGGAACAGGGAAAACTAAAAAGCTTATCTCCACCTAAAAGCGAGCAGTCATTCCTCAACTGCAGCATTGTGGATATTCTGGTTTTTTTTAAGGGAAGAATCTGAAAATTTCCTAATTTTAAAAAGATAGAAATTGGGTCACCTGGGTGGCTCAGTCGGTTAAGCGTCCGACTTCGGTTCAGGTCACGATCTTGCGGTCCGTGAGTTCGAGCCCCGCGTTGGGCTCTGTGCTGACTGCTCAGAGCCTGGAGCCTGTTTCAGATTCTGTCTCCCTCTCTCTCTGACCCTGCCCCGTTCATGCTCTGTCTCTCTCTGTCTCAAAAATAAACATTAAAAAAATTTTTTTTAAAAAAGGATAGAAATTAATGAAAAGAAATTACTACACTGTGCAGTCCAAAGTGAAATGTATTTGTAGGTTTGTTTCAGGCTGGGGGTGGGCGTACTTTGTAACTTCCCAAGTGAAGGCTCCTCCAAGGCCCATTAAACAGCTCTGCTCTGGCTCATCCACGGTGCAGCTAGAAACAAAACTCAGTACTTTGAAAACTGACACCTGATGGGGAGGAAATAGAGGGAAAAAAAAGCCTGTGTGTGTGGTGGGAGAGGCTGAACGGGAAGAGGAAGCGGAAGAGTAAAGGGATGCTCAGTGAGGCGGCCGGTGTGGTCTGATGGCAACAGCTGGGAGAAACAAAGAAACATCCTGCGTGCCATCATCGGTACCCCATGAGTGTTTGTGATCATAGGACAGTTAAGACTATTTCCTTTGTAGCTACAGACAGTACCTGCATGTCTTTCCAGACTCTGTAGGGCTTACGGAATCTTGAAGTAACCTAGACCCTTAGCATCTGTTACTTCATTTTCAATAATTATAGATATAAGCTTATTTTCATTCTTAAAATTAGTATCCCATTTAAAGTTTCTTGTTCAGTTAAACTAGCCTTCCCATTAGCCCTCTGGGCCACCCCAATTCTTAGTGAACTTCCCATTAGCTGAGTATACAGTCCTAATTATGGAGCATACCTAGAAATCAATCAGTCTGATGCTCTTTTGTGACCTCTTTGCTTTGTTGTAATATTTGACAACAATGAATTCACTTTTTTTGCATATATTTATCTTGTCTTCCCAAATACTGAGTAATTTTGAAGGCTGAAGATCTCAGCTTATCTTTCTTATACCCACCAGAGAGTTTAATATGGTACTTTTTTTTTTTAATTTTTTTTTCAACGTTTATTTATTTTTGGGACAGAGAGAGACAGAGCATGAACGGGGGAGGGGCAGAGAGAGAGGGAGACACAGAATCGGAAACAGGCTCCAGGTTCTGAGCCATCAGCCCAGAGCCTGACACGGGGCTCGAACTCACGGACCGCGAGATCGTGACCTGGCTGAAGTCGGACGCTTAACCGACTGCGCCACCCAGGCGCCCCTGGTACTTTTTTCAATTAGCAATAATCGCGCCTCGGATAAACCTCATTGGCTACAATACTGCCACTGAGCAAAGCTTAATATGGTACTTTTTTATCCAAAAATGTTTCTTATGTACAAGGTAATAAAATAGTGAGGTGAAGAGCAGAAAATCACACTTTAGCCAACCATACTGTCTATATGAGATAAGAAAAACTCCTTTGGTTATTTCATCACCACCGCCCCCCCCCCCCCGCCAGGTTTGAGAATTGATTTTTTAAAAACGTCATTGATGACTATTTTGTCATTGCACAGGCATGGCTTTTGTGTTATGGAGCCCAAGAGTAACTCTATCCAAAGCAGAAGATGGTAACGGTTCATAAACCTGGAATTTAGCCACGCCATTTAATTAGAACTTTTAATTTGATGAGAACTTTTGTTTTATTTTGTTTTGGCCAACCAATGTTTAGAATTGGGACCGCTTTGTGGCTCAGTGTCTACCATGGTTACAGCATCACCGTGTGGATCAAGGATCACGAAAGAAAGACATAGCCAAGGAAATCTGTGATTGCAGAACTCATTAAAGAAAAGGAACATTGTCTTTCCCCACATTATGTTGCTGGCTAAAAAAGAATTGCCTCGCAATCTGGTTAAAGAAGCTATAAAAAACTTTAGTGGGTATTTGCAGCTAAATCTTAATACGACGTGGAAAACAATGGCTTCGAATTTCAACAAAAGGAAGCAATATATCAAGTACAACCTTGTCAAGGACCCTTGCTAAAGAATTTACTGCAGATTATCAACTATTTGTTGGGGATTCTCTATATGTAAGGCTCTGGGTACCTTGGGAGACATAGTGGGGGAAAAAAAAAGATAAAATCCATGCTTTTAAGGTCTTTCAAATTTAGTGGACAAGAAGTAGTAATGTAACACTTTATTTGTTTGTTTGTTTGTTTGTTTGTTTGTTTAAAAGAGAGAGCAGCTGCACATGAGAGCTGAACAGGGGCAGAGGGAGAGGGAAAGAATCATGAGCAGGCTCCCTGCCCAGGCGGGGACCCAACTCAGGGCTCCATCCCACAGTTGTGAGATCAGGACGTGAGCCAAAATCAAGAGTCGGACGCTTAACTGACTGAGCCACCCAGGTGCCCTATAATACAACCTATTACGATAGGTGTTTAATGTCACCAGACACACTGTGGGGAAAGGCGAGGGGGTATCAATCTGGCTGAGGGGCTCTGAGAGAGCCCTAAGGAATCCTTTGAATTGGAGGAGAGCTGTCACGATGGATGCCCCCCGGGAAGGACGTGGAGGCAGAAGGCTTCCAGATGGAGAGGACCAAATGAGCGAACATGCAGAGGTAGTGGAGTGTTGTGTGTCTTTAAGGATTAGGCGTTTTCCTGAATGGCTGGAGGAGAGGATTCCTGCCAACAGTGTGTGGGGGACAAACGGGTGGAACTGTGTGTGGGAATTAGCAGTGGAATACAATAAGCCTCTCTCTTAGGATTTGCTTGTGTCCCAGGTAGAAGAGAACTTCTGCTGGTAAGAACCGTGTTTGATTCTTTTTTATCTCTTACTACCAACAAATGCTTAATATTCTTGTTGCTTTTTATAACCTTTGGTATTTGCATGAGTGCCTGGAAAACGAGGCCCTTTAGAAATGTTGGATCTGGTGAGCGTGCACGGTTTTAAAAGCCAAGTGAGAAAGTTTTGGGTTTGGTTCTGTGTGCAACGAGGAGCCTTCAAAACGTTGTGAAAAAGGAAGTTTGTGATCAGAGCTGTGCTTTCTGAAGATAACATAAGCAACCATATGGAGATCAAATCAAAGAGAGAGGAAAAGCCCAGGGCAAAGAGATCTGTTAGCAGTTGTCACAAAAACCTAGGTGAGGGAGGCAGAGCCTGGGCTGAGGGGGCAGTGGCCATGGGAGTAGAAGGAGACAAACTCAATTAGATTTGGCCACAGTTTGACGTAGAGAATGCAGAAAATGGACGTGAGGGGCCTGGGGTCACAGTTACCTATCAAACTCAGGGTCCTTAAAAACTTTCAACAATTTGCTACTTCTGTTTAATTTATCCCTCACTGGTGAAGTCCAGCATAAAATGTTAGCCTTCACAAGCAAAAGCTGGACAAAGCCAACAGTTTGAGATTATCCCCAGATTATCGTGGTTGAAGAAAACTTTCCAGGAGCCTTGAATGCAGGAGCCATTCATAGAGAAGAGGAAGGGCTCCAGAGGATGAGTTGGGGGTTAGTTAACACAGTGACTCCTGTCAGATTTGTCAGGTAAGGGCTAAAAGTGTCAGCTATGCCTCAGACAGTTTGCTTAATGATTTGGAGGGGCCTTCCATGTGACAAGTTCACACAGCTGGATTTAAAATATTTAAGGCATTTCTTTCAAGCATTTGCCTAGCTGGGGGTTGTGATGAGGAGGAGGACTATGGTGTTCACTTTTTGGGAATCCTACTTCTTTCTTGACTTGAAAAATGTTGTATGAAATCAATAAAATGTGCGTAACAATACATTGTTTTCCCCGAGTGAGGAAATAATTTGGCTGCTGTCCAGCATTGTGCTTATATGAACTGAAAGAAAACATTCACAGCAAATATGTACTGTAGGTAGTCAGGTTGAGAAGGGCTTCCAACATCATAAATATAAAGAAACCCATGGCTTTACCAAGGATTTCACATTTGTTCACGAAGTGATACAATTTCAAGAAAGCATCTTCTGACAGCCTTTGAAGATCATGTAGAATAATTTGGTTCCCACAGGTGACTACTGTTTAAAGAAATCGCCACGAGTGTCTACAGCAGAGGCATCAAAACAGTACCGATTACCTATGGACAGTCAGAATCCAGTGATGTCAGAACAGAGGAGGTATGGAATTTATCGCTTACAAGATGGTTAAAAAAAAAAAAAAAGAAAGATGTATCCTTCAATATTGTTGGAAACAAAAAAACTACCTGAGTAACTTGGAAAAGAATTTCTTATTCATTCACTGAATCATTCACTTTCTCAAAACTAACACCAAATAGATCCACTGTTAGATCTCCCCTGAATGCCACCGCAGGAAATGCACCATTGGAATATTTGTGGTGGGTAGTACATTTTTATTTATTTATTTACTTTAAAGTGAAACGAAGTAAGAGAAGTGAGAACCCAGAACTGGGTCAACATCTTGACTGCACTTGATCTTGAGCAGATGATTTTTTTTTTTTTTTTAGGAAAGGGAAGAAATGGAAATTGAAGATCTCCGAAAGTCTTTTCTCATTCCCAGTTTATGTATATTTAATATATGAGTCCTCTCATAAGTATATTTATGTAGTAAGTGAAGACAGTTAAGGAAAAAGGAAAGTGTGGTTAATTTGAAGGCATGAACTCTTGGAGGTAATAAAGGACTTGTGGATGGGGATGTTTTTTCAACTGGAGTTTCTCAGATCCTATGTCATGGGCAACTACAAATTCCCCCTATTTCCTTTTGACTTGCTTGGGTGATATTTGAAAAAAAAGTTTCCATGAGTTTGACTGAAGTAGATTTACTACATCAAATACGTAAACTCTCAGTGCTACTACTTAATCCAAATGTAAGGCAGACAACATATTTAATTCTCAGTGTTATAGCAGTTGCACAAAAAAAGGGAAAAGAAACAATGGTAAAGTTAATTTAGTGTATTTTATTAAACCCAATATATCATAATATTATCATTTCAACATGCTATCAATATAAAAACTGTTAATGAGATTTTTTTTTTTTTGCATTCTTATTTTTGTTTTAAGTGTTTGAAATCCGGGGTGCCTTTCATACTTACAGAACATCTCAGCACTAGTCACATTTCATGTACTCAACAGCCACATGTTCCTAGTGGCTACCATACGGGCAGTGTGGCCACAGATGATTGGAAAGTAAACTTTGCACATTTTCTTCTTTATTAAAAATTTTAAAAATGTTTATTTAATTTTGAGAGGGAGACAGCGTGTGAATGGGGGAGGGGCAGAGAGAGAGGGAGACACAGAATCGGAAGCAGGCTCCAAGCCATCAGCACAGAGCCCGATGCGGGGCTCGAACTCATGGACCGTGAGATCATGACCTGAGCCGGTCAGACGTTTAACCGATTGAGCCACCCAGGCGCCCCTACTTTGCACATTTTCTAATACCGTTTGGTAGATGTAAAGCCAGTTCTTCAAAAGTAGGAAGAGGCACAAAGCCATTAATTTTCATTTTGCTAAATGGCATCCCTTCCCCTATCTCGTACTCCCTATGAAAACTGGCACTTCACTGAAGTTCTAATTAACTACTGATTTTTGCAGCGTGTATCACTTCTTGGCAAATGCGCATGGTATAGTACTTATCACTCTCCCAAATTACATTTGAAGTAGAGTAATCAAGTCTATTTTTCATTAGAAAACTGATTTCCTCCAGCTTTGTATTAGTTGCATTGGCTCCCTGTAAACTGCAAAAATCAATGATTTTACACGCTTTTCCAGCAACAGGCTCAGTTTGAGTTGAGATCTACCTCTAGTCCCCATTTCCGCGAGGACTGGGGCTCTCTTGCTCCTCTTCCTCCTCCTCCCATTTTTTTCTCCACTTTCACTCCTCACCTCTGCCCTCCTCTCCTCCCTTTCGGCCACCACAAGCCCAGTTTTAATTCAGGCCCCGATGTGCCCAGTTTTAATGGATGAAAAGTGGTTGGTGAAGCATCTGGTTTTCCTTTGCCAGTGACTGGGGCCGTGGCTGTCAAACCCTAGCATGAATCAAAATCACCTGGAGAGCTTGTTATAACCCAGAATCTCAGGCCCTGACTCTGGAATTTCTGATTTAGCAGGCGTGGCATGGGGCCCGAGAGTTCGTATTTTTTACGTATCCAGGTGATGCCAATGCTGCTGGTCTGAAGACCACACTTTGAGAAGCAGTTTCCACCGCTTGGAGAAGCAGTTTCCACTACTTTCAGAAGCAGTGGCATAGCGTGATAGGCGTGTGACCCGTTTCGATCAGAAAGCTATAAGGACACCTGGGAAAGCTGGTCTTTCCCGATAAGCAGCCATCAGGTGAAAAAGCATTATTTGTTTCTCTCCCTCCTCCATCTCCTTGCTTTCTCCTTTGGATGCTGTCACGTAAGGTCAAGGTTGTTGGAGCTTGCCATCTGGTGACAAAGGAAAACAGGAAAATTTCAGAGATGCCTTTCCACATTCTGAATTACAAAGCCCCCGAAACACCTACCTCCGTGGTCTTGTTGTGTAAAATAATTTTTAAAGTCTTTATTGCCAAGGGGCGCTTGGGTGGCTCAGCTGGTTAGGCATCTGACTTCTTTTTTTTCTGTGTTGACTCTATTTTTTATTTATTTTTATTTTTTTATTTTTTTTCAATATATGAAATTTATTGTCAAATTGGTTTCCATACAACACCCAGTGCTCATCCCAAAAGGTGCCCTCCTCAATGCCCATCACCCACTCTCCCCACCCTCCCACCCCCCATCAACCCTCAGTTTGTTCTCAGTTTTTAAGAGTCTCTTATGCTTTGGCTCTCTCCCACTCTAACCTCTTTTTTTTTTTTCCCCTTCCCCTCCCCCATGGGTTTCTGTTAAGTTTCTCAGGATCCACATAAGAGTGAGCACATATGGTATCTGTCTTTCTCTGTATGGCTTATTTCACGTAGCATTACACTCTCCGGTTCCATCGACGTTGCTACAAAGGGCCATATTTCATTCTTTCTCATTGCCATGTAGTACTCCATTGTGTATATAAACCACAATTTTTTATCCATTCATCAGTTCATGGGCATTTAGGCTCTTTCCACAATTTGGCTACTGTTGAGAGTGCTGCTAAAAACATTGGGGTACAAGTGCCCCTATGCATCAGTACTCCTGTATCCCTTGGGTAAATTCCTAGCAGTGCTACTGCTGGGTCATAGGGTAGGTCTGTTTTTAATTTTTTGAGGAACCTCCACACTGCTTTCCAGAGCGGCTGCACCAGTTTGCATTCCCACCAACAGTGCAAGAGGGTTCCCGTTTCTCCACATCCTCGCCAGCATCTATAGTCTCCTGATTTGTTCATTTTAACCACCCTGACTGGTGTGAGGTGATATCTGAGTGTGGTTTTGATTTGTATTTCCCTGATGAGGAGTGACGTTGAGCATCTTTTCATGAGGCATCTGACTCTTGATCTTGGCTCAGGTCAGGATTCTCTCGCTCTCCCTCTGCCCCTCTCCCCTGCTCTCTCTCTCTCTCTCTCTCTCTCTCTCTCTCTCAAATAATAAAAAAAATATTGTCCAGCCACCCTCTGTCTTTTCTGTTGTTCGCAGTCACAGACACAGTGACTACTCCTCCCAAATCACTATGCCATCAACCGCTTGATTCAACGGTGACAGGGACTTACAACAATGTCATCACAGAATCATGGCGCTAAAACCATAATGCCTTTCTTGAAACCGTAAGACTTTTTTTTGGTAAACCCTCCACCTCTGGGTATGGTATCTCAGGGCTAAGGAGTTAGAAGAAGCTATGTAGACTGTCTCAGGGCATAGCTGGGGGGTGGGGGAGGAGCTCTCAACAAGCTGAAACACGGTATCCAGAGGGCTGTTTCATGGATTAAAGTTAAAGTAGGGGAGACATCCTAGGCAAACCCGCTGATGATACGCAGCTAGGAAGACTGGAGAATTTCTGGGATGTCCGGGACTTTCTGGTGAGAGGAGAAGATGATTTGTTCCAGGTAGCTTCAGAGGAACAGAACCGGTACCGACGCGTGGAATTTACAAAAAGGTACATTTGGCTCTCTAAAAGAAGACAAATTTTTCCAACACCTGGAGGATGTGTATAAAGAGACTTTCACTATGCAGGGAAGGCTCTGCACTACTTCACTGTTCACCGAGAGCCCAAGAAGCCACTTGCGGTCCTGGTGGCTTAGCCTTCAGCGAAACGCTGAAACGAACTAAAAAATCCCTGTAACGTATATTGGGTTTAACCATATGACACTGCAGGTACTCTATCATTTTGGACTTACATAAATGGTTGCTTCATATGATTCTGCGTGATCGAAGTAGAGTAATGCGCTGGGGTGGAACCTGAAGTCTATTTCGGGTCACGGGAAGGGCAGCGTTTAAGCCATCGACATCCATCTCCCTGCAGGGAGCGTGGCTTGCGTGAACCGCAAAGTCGTGGTCAGTTCCCGGAACCTGCAAAAGAGGGCTTGATGGAAAGAGTTACTGACCCAAGAATGAGCCCTTGCTCCAGCTAGCCCCGACGCTGTGTTTGTTTTGTATTTGTGTTTGTGGGGCTGGGGGAGGTGGCCCCAGCGCTGGAAGTAGGGATGTCGCTCCAGAATGTCCCAGCTTTTCCCCAAACTGGGGAATCTGTGTCACTTCATGGGGAAATTAGCCCCGGAAGTTCACAATCAGGGAAGCAGCAGCGCTACCTTTGATTGGCTCTAGGTTTACTCTTTCAAGTATCTAAAGGACCTTCTGAATTTTAGCATTTGGGGCTCTTGTCCTGTTTTACCCACAATGCTTATACTTTTCTCCATTATAATTATTATATACCTTCTTGACCTCTGGCTTTCTGGAACTTTAAGTCCAAAGTTTTTCAAGATGGCCCCTAAACTGTCACCTTGCTATTTTTAGCTGTCCTTAATGGACACGCAGGTTCTCGCTGTATAGATACCACTCTGTTCCCTTTTCTTCCACCCTTGTGGTGCTACTTCTGTCCGGCTTCAGATCTCAACTTGCTCTAAGAAGCCTTCCATGACTTCTCCCAGACTAACTTAGACGGCCCTGCAGTAGGCTCTCAAGAGTAATATACGCTTCCCAGATCATAGTGTTTTCCTACGATCTGTTATTTAATTTTAATTTGACAAGTAAGCCGGTGGCAATTTCGTATGTGCTGGACACTGTTTTCAACGCCTTACAATAGCAACTTATTTGATTTTCACAACAAACCTTTGAGGCAGAACTATGACTGCCCCAGTGCACCGATGAGACAAACGAGGCACAAGGAGTTAAATCACTTGCTCAGGGTCACAGCTCTTCATTGGGATGGCAGGATTTGAACCCCATGTTCTGGCTCTTGTGTCTATCCTCTTTACCATGGTGATATGCTGCCTCTCTCTTTATTGTCATTCTTTGTTCGATGGTAATATCACAGCCCCCTCCTCTCTCTCTCTCTCTTTCTCTCTAGCAATCATGTCTCTCTCACTAACCATTGTAGGCCCCCACTAGAGTGTAAGCTCCTTGGGAAGGACAGGGACAATGTCTTCTTTGTTTCCTGTTGAATTCTAGTAACTTCCAAGACAGTGCTTAACACTCGATTGGTATCCGGTCCGTGTTTGTTTAATAAATGGACGCGTGGATGTTCATTGCAAACATTTAATGAAGGTAACATTTCTAGGAGGAATGAAATAACAACATCTCTTAAGTACAATCAAAAGGTGTTTCAGTTATGCTAGAGGAAATGAGAACTTATCCTGACAAGTGGTATTTTGAAAATTTCAAATGTCTAAAAAAGATTAAAGCTAAAGGGGATTTCAAGGCCGGTATCGGGCAGTTCAATTTGAAGCAAAGCTTCTGCTATTCAAGCCTTCACCACTCCAGCCACAGGAAAAGGCAGACAGTTATGAAAGCTTGCAGGCTGGAAGGAAATTCTAATTCCTTGGAATGCCCTGAAGAAGGAGGGTGAGCTGTAGACTCTTGACTACTTTCCTGTAAGCCCCGATAACCCTGAAAAAATATAAAAAAAAAAAACCACATAAAAGAGGGCACGAGCCAGATTAGAGGGCCAAGTTGGAGCTGTGTTATCACAGGTCCTCAAGAAATCAGCAGGGCCAGAAATAAGGCAGGCTGCAGGCAATTACAGATTGTCATTAAAGTTAAAAATATGACCCACAGCGCTGTTGCTGTATAGCTTTAGGCTACTAAATCTCCATGCTGTTAGTTGTGACATGAAGCATGGGGAAGGACAGTCAAAATTCTGTGCTATTTCTGCATTTGGTTACAAAAATAAAAGTCTGTACGTTTCTATACAATTAAAATAAGTCAGCGCAGAAGGATTTTCACGACGTTAAGAAAGAGGAGAAAGGCAGGGAAGATAAGTTAGATCTACTTGAAGAAACGCATTCAAATGACTACCTCATCATTGCTTGGGTTTATGTGGTAGTGGAATCAGTGACAAGGATGAATCTGTCCAACTGGTCCTCTTCAATGGTTTTCAAAGTCAAGAATTGCAGACAGCAGACAATACAGGTATTGTGTCGGATGAATTAAAAAAACGCATGAGGGTTTTGGCCAAGTAAATAACATTTCAAGTAAGTGTTTAATGGGCTGGAAAAATTCACAACAATGAAAAGCCTTAGATGAAAGAAGATTGAATTCTGAATGAGGGCATAAGGATTAAGTGAATGTCAAGATGAACATCCCAGTATGGATCCATTCCTTGTATAACAATTGAACTCCTTACTTCACAGCATGGTAGAGTGTAATTTCACTTAAGAGGGGTAAATGTGCCAAAGAGAAATGATTCAGGAAAGAAGGAAGGATTTTTCATGTCAAGGACAAAGCAATTTGTAATTTGATTTTTAATCTGCAGACAGTAGGTAATATCAAGTCATCAAACAGTCCAAAGAATAGGCTGCTAATTGAAATAGAACGTGGAAACATTAATGAAATTGATTAGAAGTGACAAAGCAGCTGGATTTGTCAGCATTTCAGCAGATGGAATGGCTCTGATTGATGAAATGACAAGGCTCTGAAACAAAACCGAAAATTAAATGTACAGCCAGAGAGTCCTGGCACCAAGAATGTACAATTGCATAAAATTTGAGGAACAGGACGTGAAGGGATCTTGAGAAATACTCCCGAATGGTGTTACAGAATACAATTGTTTGTCACTTGGCTCGAACCTGCCACTTCTGATGACTGCTAGAAGTCTGAGAGTTGCTGTAATAAAATACCTAATGTCGTTGTGTGGCATATATTACCTGTGGCGATATCACCGGGACTGGGACTGCTTTAGAATGACCATCTCTCCACTCTTAATTTATAGCTATAGCTCCAAGGGCTTTGT